GGGAGAAGAGACCAACCCCCACCTGACTCCAGCCTCCAGTCAGGGAGTTGTAGAAGGTGATAAGGTCTCCTCTGAGCCTCCTCTTCTCCAGGCTGAACAACCCCAACTCCCTCAGCCTCTCCTCATAGCACTTGTGCTTGAGTCCCTTCACCAGCCTCGCTGCTCTTCTCTGGACCTGCTCCAGCACCTCAATGTCCCTCCTGAACTGAGGGGCCCAGAACTGCACACAGTACTCAAGGTGTGGCCTCAGCAGCACTGAGACCAGGGGCAGAATCACCTCCCTGGTCCTGTTGACCACACTGTTCCTAATCCGGGCCAGGATGCCATTCAAACTGAGAGAAAATCTGAGCAATGATGAACCTTATAGACCTCCAAGTCCAGAAAACAGGTACTCCTATCTCTCAGGGCAGATCCCCACAAAAAGAAAAGCCAGTAAGAGAGATGCTGTGCGAAACAGTAACACTGCTCTGTCAGTGCCTACAAAATACCATCTGAGTGCACTATCTTGGAGTTCAGAAGTTTTGTTTTCTTTGTTCACAGATGATTTGTTCCTTCTTTGCTTTTGCAGGACTGCAGAAGTGCCCACTGTGATGTGGACAGCTGGTCCCTCAAACCAAGGCACCCATTCAGCTAAGAAAGCTAACAGCTTTTGGTGAGCCTTCTGTGCGCATACCACGGCAAACAAACGGAGTACTGACACATTTCCAATCAGTTCCATCTAACTGCTGAACAATTCATCAGGACAGTCACTTGCCATGGCTCCACATACTGCTCCTGTTTGATTTAAATTAAGAGAAGATTTCTTTTTGTTCACCAGCCTTGCCATTACCCTGACATAGCTGCACTGTGCAATATCTGCCAGAGCCATTCATCATTTCTGCTTTGTTCACTCGGCACAACTACAGGCACATGCTGATATCTATTAGGGATGTTTCAGGCCTGCAAGTATCTAGCTAATGCCTTGAAAAAAGAGCTATATCATCATAGTGCAGATATCCCTGGTGTCACTACTGTGACAAAAGAAAGCACACAGCAACTTCGGTGAAATCAAACAAGCATTATTCTTCAGCTGTATCTTCAGGTTACACTAACCTTTCGTATCATCTTCTTATTGCCCAAATCCAGAGCAATCCTTCAATACATGGAAAGGTGTCCTTTTACACATGAAACTGATCCAACAATAGAATTACCAACATGTTCAAAATTATGTAGGAAAGTGTGCTATGGCACACTGGGAAAATATAATCTCTCGTATGCAAACACAGGGACCTAATTACAAAACCATCCCGAGACTATAAAGGAATATCTGGACTTATCAAATATATGCAAATACATTCACTGCTTTTTTCCTAGCTGCAAAATAATCTTGCAAAGAGGCTCCAATCCAAAAAGCTCAGCAGTAAAACCAGGGAGTGCTTTAGGGTAGGCTGCTGTTGAAAGACTTCCATGCCAGGCCATTCCAAAGCACTGTCATAACTTAATTTCTGAAGAATCTTTTTCCACTGAAAAATCTGTGTGGAAATGCCATGGAAGCCTGAAAAGCCTTCCAAGCAGTATGTGCAGGTCTGTCAGTGTATATACCACGTTGTGCCAGCACCACACCAGTCTCACTTGACTACTAGCTGCTTCCATGCCAGTAGCCAAGTACACCTGGCCTATTATGGAGCATTAAAATGGGATGCACTTCACCAGACATTCATAAGGAAATCTACAAAGAATTTAGCATTTCATGGCTGTCAGCATCTTGATATGCTCTAAGCAATTTTTCCTTCTCTGAAATGCAAGAAGTTAAAGCACAGACTGCAGAGAACTGCTACTGGGATCAACTGAATGGTTAGTAGGACATGAATTTACTTGGCTTTTAGGGTCTCTCCGTGCCCATGCCATGCAGCTTCTTCATCCAACTGCAGCTCCCGCAGGACACGGCTGGGTTTGTAGGCTGCATTGATCAATAATGTGAGAACCTGCAGCATGGGAGGGAAGAGCACAAAATAAGTTATTTGTACATTAAGTAACTTACTTGTATATTAAATTTGTTTTAAAGTGCCAGGGTAGAATAGGAAATTACTTCTACTCATCCCAATTTTCTAGCATCAAAGCACTCATTCACAGCAGGATTACAGATACCTCCTGATACTGCCAAAATGAACACTGAGAGCAGTTGACACTTTGGGCCTTGCCAACCTTCAGAATTTGTCTGCATAGTCACGAGTGGATCTAGCAATTTCCAAGTCATTGCCCTTGAATTACACATCACTAAATTAACTCCTGGGGCTGAATACTACAAAACTTGCATAACCTTGGCTAAATCTAAGTGATTATCTTAGAGATTGCACGACATGTGAAGATGTGCCAGAAAATGCTGCAGGATTTCGCTGCCTGCCAACCCACTACTTACAACAAAATCATACTGTGGAATCTTAAGCTCTCATCTGTTTTACTTTCATGAACCACGATAAGACCTGTAATATAACAAAATGAGAACTTTTCTGGTGCCGCAGAGTATCTTGAAGTGGTGAATAACCTGGAGCTAGTGGGGGATAGAACAAAATGTGCATTCCAATTGCATTTATGTGCTTACTCCAAATCATTCCCTAATTGGGTGCATTGGAACCTTGATGCTACAAATTTGCAGCTTCATTGCTACTAATGCAGCAGTCCAGAAATCAAAGAAAAACATTCTAAAGAAAAATATTCAGTATAATGTGAGTACCAAACTCACTCTAGGATTCACACAGTGAGCAGGAGTCATAACTGAAATAATATTGGTTAAACTTTTAGCAACTCAGCATCTGCACATCAGCAGGATTTGTGCACACTTTCTGCTTTCAGGCAATGAAGCAGACGAAACCTTCGAGGGTAAATGAAGCTGCCACAGAATTTCACATTTGCTCTTTTGCAGTTCTTACATCAGAGGACTGAAACTCCCAGAAAGGACAAGGTACTTCTCTGCAATCAAAAATGGAACTTCCTCAATAATCAGCTTGACTCTTGACAACCAGACTTGTTTTACAGCATGTCTGCCAGAAAGGTCTCTCCCAGTTAAGATACTTGGTAGGGGAAAGTAAAAAATCCAGAGACCTTGAGCTAATTCCTATATTTAAACCGATTGTTTCATGAGAGCTAAGTGTGCACACAGAGTTGGTTATGCCTTGGGAAACTTTCAGCCTCTCAGGTCAGATAATAACCATCCCATGACCTTCTTAAGGACTTCAGAAAAATAATTAATGCATTAAAGTATCTGCAAATTTGCTGTGAAAAACCTGGGGAAGAGGCTATTTGGTACTACAGAATGGCCTCTTCCTCCCTCAGTTGCACGAGAAAGCAAAACCACAATTTTAGCTGATCCTTGCAAATTGTATCCAACTTATAAAGCACAGAGAATTCTTTTCATTTCTCAATTACTGAAAACAGTTTGCTACTTCTACTAAGAAAATCTGCATTTCCTCTGTTTTAACACCAACAGTGCAAACCGTAAAGGAATTTTGAGATTATCTCCAGCTAAATTCTGTTAATTAAAACTGAAACGTTTATTACAGCTATAAAAAGACACTAACTCTTTTGATTGTGGTAATTACAGGTTACACTGTTTTAAGCTAAAATAAAATTTAGCAGCAGAATGCAGACAGTAAAAGGCTCTCATTTCTAAGTCAGACAAGAGGCTTTTACTCTTTTCAGCCATTCATGAAACAGTTCATCATCTATATTTCATTATATGCAAAAAGACCCTCTTTAGTCATTATTAATGATCCATCTAGAATTAAGGAGACACTCTAATGTTTATGACACTCTGCTATTGCAGGTGCACTCTGTAAGCAGCTCACCTCTTTGAGAACCAGAACACAGTTCCCAGGACCCACAGACTGAGGAAGCTCTGCAATCCTGCCCTTGTTCAGGTAAGGCCCTGAGAAGCACCGGTGGTTGAAGTAGATCTTTGGGCAGCAGTACTTGCCATTAATTACCACTGAGAAATAAGAAAGCAAAGACTTCAATCACACACTACAACCACTCTGGGAAAGAATCTTGCAACACATAATATTTTGTCTGCTATAAAAAAAGGAGGGGAAGAAGTCTTGAATGACATGAAATTAGGGTAGTTTCAGTGCCATATTTGCAAATGACAGCATTAATTATTTGATGTTGCCAAAATATTTTTCATATTTCACACCCATGACTGCAAATTGCCAAGCTCTAGTAAATAAAGATGGTCATCTATTGGAAAAGAAAGATTCCCTCCCAGCTAGTCACGGTATTATACCAGTGAGAACCAGAAAGACAAAGACAACCCCAACTTTCTGATACCAGGAGCAGTTCCTACACAGCAATTACAGATAAATTTTCCTGTCAAGTAATAATCTTTCCCCCAAACTTCTGCCAGCACGAGATGGCAAAGTTATTCTCCACTGCTTATCCTAGACACCAAGCTCTCTAAACCTATTAAATGGTTCAACACTGCTCAAAATTAAAGTATAATACATATTGCAATACACATATATAAAACCAATATTGTTTTACCTAGGAGTGTTGTAGCTTTTCTTAACTGAGCAACCTTATCACTTAAAGTTCTTAAATTCAGTAGTTGAAAACTGGCAGATAAATAAATGAAGTCAAATTTACATTATGACTCCATTAAAAGTCAGTTAAAATGCTAAGCAAGCACACATCATTTCTATCACACTTGCTTTTGGTGAAGCTTGAGATGTGCATTTCACTGCACACGAAACAGCGGAGGAGGCATTTTGTGCCAAATGGACAGATCTGTGCGACTGTTTCACCAGCAGATGTACTTATTCATCACATTCATTCTTGCAACAGTTTAGAAAATTATTAGATTTTGCCATCTGGCACACAAAGCAGTTTACTGTTTGAATTGCTTTTGTTTATCATGATAATGAAGTTAACACAAAAACCAGACAGACCTGCTTCCCAAAGCTAGAATCTCACTACTCCAGCGCACAGATGTAGTGTGCCTGTTACACTTCTCCCCCTATCATTAAACATAACAGGTGACAATAAAATCATCTGCACAGGTCACAGTACACATTTAGCTCCACATATCCTTTGCTGGGGGGAAATGTTCTGGTGTAAAAGTCTGGTTTCCAAGTTCAATGCACATATGAATTTCAGGCTCCGAGTGATTGTATGTTTTGGTTTGTTTCATTCTCTTCTGAAGTTCAACACATCACCAAGGGATGAAAATCTTCAAATCCTTTCCCTCTTCACTGTGTTGAACAGGAGAACTGTTAGCAGCATTTTGTCTCTGTTAGCCTGACCTCTGTGATCAATACCTGAGTCAGAAGAGTTCAGTTCCTGGTTCTTTAGTCCATCATGAACTGTCCTTGAAGACAAAATTCTGAAATGAAAAGAAGGTTGGGGAAAGGGACAGATTGTAAGGACAGTTACCTCTCAGTTACTGAAACCCATCATAACATTTTTTTTTCTCAGCCCCAGCCTTATAATCTGCATTTTACATCCCCCCTGTTTCAAAATAACAACATGCAAAATGTACTGAATTCGATTTGGAAAAGACTACTGTACTGCCAGAGCCAGCAGCAATCCCTCCTCGCTTAGTCTCTGGGCTACCATGCTGGCAAACACCACCCAAAGATACCCACAAGTCTGCATTTCCTTGCCTCCTCCTAACTTCACATTTTGTGGCACAAGGCAGTGTAGGCCTTACCTCATGCATTTTGAAAAAGATGGATTTTACACAAAATACAACCAAAATGACTCAAGTACTCTGGTAAGAATCCCAATTACAAAACATGGAAGAACAGTCTGCTCAGTATTTGAGGAGCAATGAAAACATTGGCAGGACTACTGACAGTTCTGGTGTTTGTAAAGCTCTCAGAGTCAATAAAGCCAACTGTGAGGCATTCCATGGAGCATTTCTGAGCAGGCTCACAGGAATGAGTCTCATATCCGTGACACAGTTTACAGAGGAATTGTAGGCATTAGAAGAACTCTTCTTTTTGGCTAGTCTGGGCCAAATTTAATCTTGGAAGGAATGATTAGAAGCTCATTGACTAGATGACAGCACTCACACTAAAGCAAATTTTTCTAATCAGCTGGGCAAACCCGGTTACATGTTAAGGCAGCCACATTTTCAAAGCATGTTTACAGAAAGTGCATTACTTCAGAAAGAATACAACTGAAAGGAAATCCAGCAAGTTTTCCTATTACTCACCATTACAATAAGACTCATGCACAAGTTTATAAACACAGTCTTAAGATCAGGCCTGTTCTTCTTAAATGCACTGTGATACACATAACACAATCTTCTGAATTTGAAAGACCAACAACTTCGACTCCTGAACTTCAATGACTTGACCTATTCAATAATTCAGCTGAGTTGCAATAGCATTGCTAAAAAGCAAATTCCAAGCTTTCTATCTCTTCCTACCATAGTGCAAGAGGATTTTTTGAACGTCAACAGAAACTACTGGCATTAACACAAATAGATTGTGGAATCTCTTAACCCCCAGTATAGCTCTTCTATAAAGCTAAGTCTTCCGTAATACAGCATGATTTCCCAACTGGAAAAAGAGAAAAAACCCAAACCAAATCCCAACAAAAATATAAAAGCAAAAAACCCTGGCACTTACTGTTTCTCCGGTTGAACTACTGCAATTTTTTTCTGCTTGTTTACTAAAAGGAAGAAAAAACCAAAACCAGCAAAGTATGAGAAGCAAACAAATGAAAGTCTAGTACAATATATATATAATGGACTCATTTCTTCTAAGTCATACACCCAATAGAACCTATGTTCAAATCCCCTGCAGTGTCAGACAGCTGACCCATCTGCACTGGCAGCACACTGGCCCATGTAATTTGAAATGATCCAAAAGGTTTATTTCATCTTTCACTAAAAGTTCATTAAATCAACAATGCACATCCCCAGCCTTCCAGGAAATCTCACCTTTTGTGCACCTTTATTTGCATCATAGCCACTAAACTACCTGTAATACCAGCCAAAATGGCAGCTATGCCTCCTTTACAGCACCTAAAAGTTAGGTTCTTCAGCCTAAAACCCCAGTTTACTGGCACAGCAACACTGTTTAGCTTGGAGATGGAATGAAATTAGCTGGTTAGAAACATATATAACTTAAGGCAGTTGCTATGGAGGAAAATATCACTGCAATTAAGTAAGTCAAATAGGTGATGGGTCCACTTGTTAATTCTGGCTTTCAGAATCAGGAAATAATATCAAACAAGGTAATGCAACATAGGCCTCTTTGGCAGTTTCAGGCTTCGACCCCAACAAAATTCTGGATTTTGTTAAAGCATCTTTCCTCTAAAGAGGATCCATCAGCTTCCTCCTCTGTCCTTGGCAGTGCAGGAAGATTAGTTTCTCTTGCTTTGACTTGCACTAAATAACAGCTCATTCCAACCTGAAAATTTTCTTCTCTCATTACCATCTGGCACATTTAGAAAGCTAATCCCCTTTATTTTGACTCCAAAATGTATACACACTCCACACTGTTTTGTTATGGCATTGACCTTACTTGCACAAGTCCAAGTGTAAAATCAGTATCGGGGTCAGACGCATAACAAGAACAGCTCAGCAGAAGTACATGCAGAGCACTGGGGGTTGTGTGTACACACAGATATGTTTTTTTGTTATGACCAATGGATTGCTCCCATGGGCTCGTAGAGCATGCAAGAGTCTCAAGCCAACACTGCTGGTTTTGGGGTTGTTGTACAGCTTCTGAGTGCACCTGACCTGACAACCAAGGGAACAGTTGCACAGGATCTCTGCACATGATGAATGTTTGCAAATCCAGTGAAGCCAGCAATAACTCTGCAGTAGGCTGCTCTGAAGGTCTTCCCAGCTCTATCAACCCAGCTAAGCACTGCAAACAGAACAGAACTGATACCTATTGCTTTGCGAGGAGGTCTGAGCTGATATCCATTCGTCTCACACCAACCCACTGGAAATATATTCATTGATTCCACACTCACTATACAGTCAGGGACAGGTTTCTTGGAGCCTGTTCAGTTTAGAAAAGGAAAAATTGAGACAAGTCATAAAAAATTCCAATTTGGTTAACGCTTGCTCTGTGTTTGCCAGTGAAGCTGCTTTTACTTATGGAGTATCTAGAACACAAGAACAATCATTTATTTATCCCCTTCTCCTGGCCAGATTCTCTCCTGACCTCATTTACTTCCTCCTAAAGGCTGGAGATGGGAATTTGCCACCCACAGTTTAGCAGGGATGCAGAGTGCATAGTAAGTGCATACTGATGTACTTCCAATCAAGAAATGGGATTATAATGGAGAATGGCTGACACAGACACCACTCTATTTTAATGAAGAACCTCTGTAAAAGTTTTCTTCCCAGGCCTGGTCTAAGCCTGCTCAGAATGCAAGTCACTTATTTGTAAAAATGTTCCAAGGCCCTTGCTTTCTAAAAGACTCCAACCAGCACTTTGCATGGGGCACTGACACACTGCAATGCTCAAATGCCATTTTTTGCTTAAATAAGCAGTACCAGCAAAGGCAAATTGAAAATAGACAAGGCAAATGTGGTTTTGCTATGTTGTCATTGAGGAAACTGACTTGCTGATCATACTCTGTACACTGGGCTTGCTCCAGATACTCCTCAGGTTTGGTGATGGTACTGCAGAATGACTAATGCAAACACTACTCTCTTCTCCCAAATCAGGCTTACCCTCCAGCTGAAGCCAGAGGTAAGAATCTTTCAACTTGGTGACTGTAGCAATGCAAACTTCTTCAGGATCAACTGGGTTCACAGCCTCAAGCTTCATATTCTCTTTAAATCCATGGTCAGAAGTTAACTAGGAGAGAGCCAGAATACTTCAGTAAGATATCAGCTGTGTATCCATGATAGGATATGAACAGCCATGAACACAACACAGAAAAGAGAAGATTGCAGATAATTAGCACACTGAATACAATAAGATATATTATGAACTACAAAGAATTTAAGTTTAAAAAGGCTCTCTGCAGGCAGACCTAGAAAAGAATACATTTGTCCTCAAAAAATAAGAATGCTGAGACTCACTGAAAGGATTGAGGGCACTCTCAGCAATCAGGAATTCTCTGCTGCTTGCTACCCAAGTGATAATTCTGACAAATAGTCTGACCAGGTTCTCTATTCTATCATGTTAGCTTGAAAATCCACTTTACATATGCAAATAACATTCCTGCCTCATCCAAATGAGTTCTGGCAGACAGCAAAGGAACCTTTCTTTCCATTTCACATTTTGTGGGTAAGTAGGATCCTACTTTATTCACCAATTTAGTTCACATTTATAAAAAAAAAACCCAACCACCCTAAAACATAAGAATGGATATTTATCCAGCTCTGAAGCTCCTGAATTAAAGATAAGAAGTAACAGCCAGACAGAGGACTCTTCCTCCCAGAGCCAGTCTGCAAGGTAATTACAGGATCAATACATTATGAATTCTGGAACTAGCCTACAGTGATCAACTCTTCTCAGAAAAGGGATAATAAATTCAAGGACCTGTTCTAAGATACCACAGCTTACAAGACAGAACAAGGGCAACAAGAATTCATAGCCAGCAACACCCTCTTCAAAAAATGGTAATTATTCATTTTAATTTCTTCCCCTAAGCACTGCAATAGTCCAAGTACTGTAAATGGAACTGGAAGGCAGGTGTTCATAGTATCCTTTTCTGCTTGACAAGGTATTGTGCTCTGGGAGACAGAAATACTGTCATTGAACCAACAAAAGCCCCAAATCTTGCAAGTCCTTCAGGCACTGATTAATGTAAAATGATTGTTTGGTACTAATTTAAGATGACTTGGTATTGATCAATACAATGGAATTAATTTTTCAAGCTGAAAGGATGGAAGATTGAAAGAGTACACTAAGAAAATGAAAATCAGGTCTATTAAAAGGCCCTGTTCCCACAATTACAGGACTGCCAGTGGTTGATGCTATTCTATGACTCTTCCATGGACTCTTGCACATTTCAATTTCACAAAACAAACACTTATTTTCAATCTGCTTTATCACAACTGAAACATTTGGTCCACTGCCTCCTTATCTAGGAAACTGGCACGAACCTACTTCAGTTCACACCCATTTATACTCTCTTATCTCTTCTGTTTCCTGAGTTATCACAGGTAAGGTGTTAGGGTACTTGAATGAGTCCAGAGGAAAGCAACAAAGCTGGTGAAAGGGCTGGAAAGAATGTCCTCGGAGGAGTGGCTAAGAACTCTGGGTTTCTCCAGTTTGGAGAAAAGGAGGATGAGGGGTGACCTCATTGCTCTCTACTGCTTCCAGAGGAGGGGAAGTGGAAAGGGAGGTGCTGATCTCCAGTGCTAGGACATGTGAGAACAAAGCTGTGTCAGGGGAGGTCCAGACTTGACATCTGGCAGCAGTTCTTTAGCGTGAGGGTGTTCAAACACTGGAACAGGCTTTCCAGAGATGTGGTCAATGCTCCATCCCCATCAGTGTTTAAGAGGCATTTGGACAATGCCCTTAACAACATTCTTTAACTTTTGGACCATCCTGAGGGGGGGTCAGGCTGCTGGACTAGATGATTGATCACTGTAGGTCCCTTTCAACTGAAATACTCTATTCTACTTGGAAAGTCAAAGACATGCAAAAGGTTGTTCTTCCTGGAATCAAGACTGCTATTCACGTAGCAGAAGAGAGATTTTTCTGCACGAGAGCCTTACCGAAGGGAAGCAGCTCTGGGGAGCTGCCTCAGCACCACACTGTTTGAGGTAGTCTGCCCAATCGAAGTCCTGCCCAGGATAACCTAGGAGAGGAAAAAGGCAAAGGGTTAGTTTAACAGCATGAGACTTATTTCAGACTGACATGAAATACAGAGCACTGAGATCTGTTTGGGTCACTCAAGTTTGTCAGCAGACTACAGCTTCCCCGAGCCACCTGAGGACACGCAACAGCAACCTGGAGCACAAAAAAAGTCCATCTGCTCATCAGACAAGGGCAGCAATTCAAACACACGGAAACATTCACTCTCTTCACAGGGTACAGGTGAAATTCGGGAAAAATTTCTGCAGTATTACTTCACTGATGTTGTGTCAGCTCTGAAACTTCATTTTCTTTAAAACAGAGCACTCAATATGTGCACGATATCAACACAGTACTCTGTCAAAGACATGTTACATACTAAGTCATTAAAGAGAGCAGCTAGACGTGCCAAGAAGCTCATCAAGTTTGCTAACAGCTATAGACCTGCATACGTGTTTAAAGGGAAGAGTCTTAACAAGGAGTCCATCAGGACACAGAGCATGTGTAAAATGAAGTTTCACTTTCTACATGTGTGACTGGAGCTGACGAAGATTTTAAGTTTCTGTTCTTGGAGTCCCCCTGGAATGGTGGTCATTCCAAGAAAAATTATATTCTTCTTGGGGAAAATACTTGGCTTCCCTGTGATCTACCAAAATGCAGGTAACTGAAGGGAACAGGACACAGAAGTGTGCTGATATGTCAGTGTGAGGCTGGCAGTAAATCAGCAAGGAGACAAGCACAGCAGTTATTCCACTCCCCTAACAGGGACACCTGTGACAACAGTTTAAGAAATCAAATAAAATTCCAAATCCAGTCTAAGAACGTAGTACTAATGTGACAACCTGAAAACACAAAGTTCCACCATGTCATGTCTACGTGCATTTTAAATACCAGGTGGTGGCTCAACCCAGTGGTTGAGCCACCTGTTCCAATCCTTGATAACCCTTTCCATGAAGGAGTTTTCCCTAATATCCAATCTAAACCTCCCCTGGCACAACTTGAGGCCATTTCCTCTTGTCCTGTCACTTGTTACTTGGGAAAAAGAGACCAACACCCACCTGTCTACAACCTCCTTCTTTTAGGAGTTGTACAAAGTTGTAAGGCTCCCCTCTGAGCCTCCTTTCCTCCAGGCTGAACCCATCCAGCTCCTGCAGCTGCTCCTCACAGGACTTGTGCTCCAGGTCCTTCCCCAGCTCCACTGCCCTTCTCTGGGCATGCTCCAGCCTCTCAATGCCTTTCTTGTAGTGAGGGGCCCAAAACCGAACACAGGATTCAAGGTGCCCCACCAATCCAGCCTAAATTATTCTATGACTCTACTCCTCAGAGAAGGTCTAACCACAGAAGAACCTATTTATTTCTCTCAGTTTTATCAGTGCCAGTAGGGATCAAGAGCTCACAGAGTCCAGAATGACCACCATTCCAGGGGGACTCCAAGAACAGAAACTTAAAATCTTCGTCAGCTCCAGTCACACATGTAGAAAGTGAAACTTCATTTTACACATGCAAAATTCCAGGTAATGCAGGTCAAGCAAAGTCACTTTTTGTATCTTTTCCTGCCTGAAAGGCAGGAGACAAATATCCTCCGGTCTTTGCTCTTCTGATGTAAGGAGCAACTAAAACAAAGCATTCTCAATTCTGAGGTGGTGAATAAGAGCATTGAGTCCCTGGTTTTAGAATACCATTTGACATTTCCATTTTGAGAAAATGAATAAATATTTCAGCAGCTGAGGATCACTCCCCTATTCCCTTATGTCCTGAAGCAACAATTCAGCAATCTGCCACAGTGCCTGACAGGCCCTTGGTAAAAAAATAGTTCATTAACTTCTAAGTGATAAGATATTCTAAAAATACTATAAAATGTTGGATAACAATATTCCACTCTGACCAGAAGCAAAAATCCAACGCAAAGACTACAGACTTCTGATATCACATTAATTAAGGCTGAAATCAACATTTTTCAGCCCTGGAACACACAGACCACTCGTTCCAGTGTTCAGGTTTCTATGCATGACCAGCATCCCTAGCCCCTCTCACCTTCCCAAATCCAGGCTCTTACCCAGAACACTTCAGTTTCACTTACTCAAAGCTCCTGTTTCTCAGAATTTGGTCTTTCTTATTCTTTGTGCCACTACATGTAATCCTTTTGCAAAAGTGCTGTTCTAAATGGAGTGCTCTGGGGATTGGCAATCTGCTTCCTTCAGAGAGGAGAGAGCAGGCCAAGGCTGCACAGACATACCTGGGGGAGGACTGAGATGCAGCCCATTCTTCAGGCTCCACTGCACGGGGAAAATCCCAGCGCTGTTGACATGACAGATGTAGGACTGGCTGGTCGGACGGTCTGGTCTCAGGTCATCAATTTCTATCATGAAGTATTTGTCATTGTATACCTGTAGTTAGCCAAAAGAGAACCATGGGATCTCGTGAGTAGCAGACTCTGATCTGCTGCTCCCTCTCCCCCATTTTGCTAACTTTATCAAGCAGCAATACTGTGTGATGGAAACCCTTTATCTTGAAATACCTGAGGGTTAAAAAACCATAAAACTAAAGGAGAATCTACGGGATCCATAAACCAGCACTCTTCTGCTTTATCCAGAAACTTAAAAATGCCAATAACAAAAGTTAATGCATGAACACTTAAAAAATAAGGTTATCAAGTGCTACATGAAATTTTCTCATGAAAATGCAGCGAAATTACCATTTGTGGTCTTACTGCTATTCTATAATAACAAACTGCTTATTTCCACCAGGCTGAACTGTGTCCAGGGATGGACTGTCACAAGTGAACCCACTACACTCCTGAAGTAAACAGAAGCAGGACAAGCAAATAGCAAGAAAAGTAAAACCTGATTATGTTGGACAAGTTCTCATTTCCATTTTAAACCGCTGTGTGGACCCTCCTTTGAAAATCAGACCATCTAAATGTCATACCTACATCATAATGACAAACTTTTGCAAAACAACCCCCCAAAATCTATCTTCAACTGGATACTCAGATTACAAGGGATTATATTCAATTTTAAAAATCTGTGTTTGACAATTTTAGTCATTGGATCTTTGAGCTTTATCTTTATGGAACCTTTTCCCTCCATTCAAACAAATCCAACGGCTTCACCATCAGCAGTTAGGATGCTTTATTACAGAAGGCTGTGCCCTGAGAAAGGCATACAAAACACTTCATTTGCAAACCAGTGCAAGATTTTAAGATAATGTTAATAAGGATTCCCTCAGCATTTAAGGGCAGAAGCAGCAGCAGCAGAACTGAATCTTAGCAGGACTAGTTTAAGAGCCCTGGTACCTTGAGAACTGTAGCAGGAGAGATGACAAAAGGAGCCATTGGGTCCACAGCTTCTAACTTCATGCCTTCAGAGAATGAATGCACTCCAATCACAGGCTTATCCTGAAAAATGATGTCACTGAGTACCTGCCTTTCTCTATCAAACAAGAGATGTACCTTATGTAAATCAACTGAAGAGGATGACTTGAGTTGGGTTCACACAAAGCTGAGAAAAACGAACTGAGAAACTGAAGGACTAAATTTACTTTTCAAAACATGTCAAAATTGTGGGTTTCTTAAATTGTGTCTCATGTACATTTAAATTCAGACTCACTAGTAACACTTGCTAACACTGAGGATGTAACAGGACATCTTATACATCAGGTGTAACTGTATTAGGTTACAGATTACATGTTACACATGTAAACCTTACAAAGGACACACACAACTAAAGAAATACAGTATCTCTGCACTCCTCCAGCAGGACAGTAATCTGCAAGACCAGCAGGTGAACAAGTGGAGATGCCATTATAAAGGATCAGACCCAGGGACTTTTCCCAGCATGACAACTAATGGCTCACAGAACTGTGATGGGTGTGCAGTCTGACTTAACAAGAATTATATTCTTTTTTATTATTCTATTTTAAACTAGAGTGAGAAAGGAAAAGAAATTTTAAAATCCAATAAAGCAAAACAGGGAAAGAATTTTGAGTAACAGCATCTAACTTGCCTGAATCATTTCTTAGGAATCTATTTTCACTATAACATTAACAGCATTAAACTACCTTAAAAAGATCTGTAGGAACAGATGACTCCTCCTCCTCCTCTTTCACCTTCTTCAGGATCTCTTGCCAATCTGTGTCACTCCTCAAGGGCCTAATGGCTTGAGTGAAAAAAGAGGGAAACGGTGAACAAAGTCGTCTTCCATTCTCGCTTCCTTCAGAACACGTAACAATAAAGCCAAAGGTTTGATTTGTGCTCCTCTAGCTGCTAAATTCTTATCTGCTCAGAATCTGTGCAAATGCCTTCCCTCTTTAAAAGGTACTGTTTTCTTCCATTTTTGGATATGTTATGAAAAGGGACTGAAGTGAAGCAATACTGTATCACCCATACACTGCTTTTTCTGAGAGAACAGAGATCACATCGACACCAAGGAAAACTTCTGGAGAAACATATGACCAGAAAACAAATCCCCAGCTGGATAATGCTGGCTGGTTTTATGCTTAAGCAAGCAGAAAGTTCAAGAAATGTTCCACAAGCCTGTTCCAGCTGCCTAAGTTACTCTTTTAGCATCTGCAATTGCAGAACACACACACTTCTGACAGAAAACTACTCATATCAGTGTCGTCATGTGCAAAGGATTCCTGTGAGCATATCAAAGCTCTTAGACATAAAAAGGAAACAAATCCAGTAGCTAACTAACATTTTAAAGACACTCTTCACTTCAATAGCACTGTGGAACCCACCTATCTTGTTTCTGTCAGTGATTTGGCATTTTCCTGTTCACAATCCTGATTTCAGCAAATTGGCCAAGCACTGCAAAAAGCAGTGTGCTCAGGCATTTCAACAGAATTGGCTTGGTTTCCTCAGCACAATTTCTTCTTACTGTTAGGGGAAAACATTAAAATAAACCCACAACAAACCCAACTGTTCTAAACAACCTGAACTTCCTCAACTAACAGCACAAAGTATGCCAGAGCCTTAGATGTACATTTGCCTTTACAGCAAGGCTTTAGGGTAAATGCTCAACATTTTCCAGCTTTATCCCAAACTGGGATACAGGAAACACATCACTGCTCAGCTCATAAGCCATCCATTTGTGTTCCTGCCATTTCATGCCCCACTCCTTTGATGACCTGCCCTGACATACACATGCATCAAAAATATGGTCATCTGTCACACTCTCTGCTGCTGCTTCCACACACTTCTTCCCTCGGCAGCCATTTTTAAGGACATTTTCATATCCTTAAAGAGTGCCTTAATTAGTCCAGTAGACTTGAGAGTAACAACTGCAAAAGCTCCTGTTGAGCAGTACTTCAAAATCACATGACTCGCTCCCTCCCAGGAATACAAACCTACCAAAAATAACCATGAAAGCAATTCTTTCCTTGGTTCCTTCCTTTCCACAAACAAATGGAAAGTTTTGACAGGCAAAAGCCATTTAGCAACTTTTGAATGAGTGGCTGAAATGTCTTGTATGACAACTTTTATTTTCACTTCCATTTTATAAGGTGCAATACCTGTCAGATCACACACTGATAGTGTGACTGCCATATGTACCCAGGAGGCAGATTCAGAGCAGTAAAGCAGCACAGTATTCTCTACTCTCTGATCATCACACACAAGGTAAGAGTTTTGAAGTACCTAGAGGTGGTTGCAGGCTGTATCCATGCTGAGCTGCCCAACCCACTTGGTGAAGGAAAGGGTCCAAGTAGAACAGCCACTGGTCAAATTTGTCAGAATCCTCCAGCCCTTCATATCGCAGCTTAAGTCTCCCACCAACATTTTCTACCACGTTGACTATCCAGGCTTCCAGGGAATCCCGGATGTTTTGCAGTTCTAGCCGGGAGCCTGGTGCAATGAGATCCAATGGATTTTTCCCTCTGTGAAGCTACAGAAAGAACACAAACTATTCTGTACAACAGAACAAAATGAATCCTGTACTTCCACCTCTTTAGAGACACTCTCTTTTCATAAATAAAGTATGAATACAAAAGTAAAGAAATAAATGTCTGTTACTAACGCAAGACAGAAATGACAATGCTCAGAATCACTGGGGTTTGCATCAGAGCTCCTGCACTGCCTGTAGACAGTCTCACATTTCACTTAAGCCATCATTATCGCGTTCAGAGGTATTATCACTTATATGCTCAAGGTTTGAAGGGAACAGGAATAACCTCTTTCTAAAACTGAGTCATCCAGCATACAAAGATGACTAGACAGAAACCTACAAAGACAGAAATGTTAACTGTAATGAACATGTCAATAGCATTTTCAAAAAAACATGACATTCTGTGCGTCACAACCAGACACTGACATAAGGTACAAATATTGCTTTAAGTGCAGAGGGAATACAAATTTGGTTCTACACTAGCAAAGATGCAATATTTAAGTGAAACAATTACCTGCCCATTAGTAAAAACCCCCAACCAAAACCACCAGAAGTGAAAGGAGTCAGCTGAGAAAGGGAATAACATGAAAGCCAGATACATAAAGGATTATTTCCTTTGAGCTGTATGGAGGAGGAGCAGAATAGGAGGAAGACAGAAACCTAAGGGAGCTTGACAGGATTAATGAACAGCCTAAACCTGCAGCAACAGATAAGTTTCAGGACAAAACTACCAAAATTAAGTACTATAAAAAAGAAACACTAAAGAGTAGAATTCTAAGGTCAGCAGCATATTACAATGCTCCTTAAACCTACAGAGGGAACTGAACTGACAATCTAAATAGGGGTTCCCTTAATGACAAGAGGGAAAACCAAGGCAATACCCAAGATGCAGCACTTACCCCCTCCAGCAGGTTAGCAGGAGCACTGCATGCTCCTTTCAGCACCCGCTGAAGGAATTCCTCCTGGTCAGGTATCTTGTCCTTGATACCTAAGTGAAAAGTGAAGAAGAAATACTGTGATTCTTCCTGACAGATAAAGACTATTCAGACACAAGGTATTACCATACCCTTGCACTGTCTAGCTCAAAAGAATTTGCCACACACTCACCAGTAACATCTTAAAAAAAGAAACAAAACAACGTTTTTAAAGGAGATGACAAAGCAGAAGATTTTGGTGAGTGGTGATTAAGATAACCACAAGCCTCTGTAAGAATTAGGTCTGAAAAATCTGAAATTAACCTGACTCCTCTTTGGTGAAGGAGGAATATCCTACTGTAAATCATGGGATTTCAGAAAACATGGCAGATAACCTCAGTTTGTCCCCAACCTGCATGTGGATTCACCATCCCTGGAGGTTTTTAAGATGAGACTGGATGTGGCACTTAGTGCCATGGTCTAGTAACCATGGTAGGGTTGGACTTGATGATCTTTGAGGTCTCTTCCACCCAGGTTGATTCTATGATTCTATGCAGGCTGTCTGCCAGGCTCACATAGGACAACAGCACACTTCTGCATGTACACCACTTCTGCACACGGAGCCCATACCTTCAGGCACTTTGAGAATCTTCTTGTTCTGCTCACACCAGCCAATGGGGTGCAAATCAGCTGTCATGATATCACACCAAAAGTCAGCCTTGCGGTCCTCCCCGTAACCATCGTAGCGCAACAGGAGCAGCTGCCCACAGGTTGTGATGATGGTGGCTACCCAGTAGGTGTTTTGGTCAGACTTAACAGCAACTTCTAGCTTCATTCCAGGGGCAAAACCATTCTGCAAACTTGTATCCACCTGAAAAGGAAGATCATCATTATATTTGAGGACCTCCCAGAACTTCATGGAACAGCAGGGAGAACAAACTAGACACATTCATTAGCAAAAACCTCAAGCCAAATGCCATCGAGTCTCTTCAGAGAAACGATGTCATCATGCTATGGGACCCAGACTGGAACACACACAAAATCATCATTAATGAAATCTTCTTTACATTTCAGAGTATCTTTTCAACCTTAAATCAATACCTTGACATTCATCTTCCTGCCCTGGGCAATAACTCCCCCATCACTGAAAGGCTTTCCCACTCACAGCTGGGCTGTCAAGCTCAGTAAAACTAAAGGTCAAACTCAGCAACACAACTTGGACTTTTTCTGTTAAACTGTGTCTTTCAAGCTCTTCGGACAAAGAGCCTGTTCAAAGTACATACACATGCTTTAGGTGACAATATCTCTGTCTCCTCCATCATGCTCATTTAAGAAGCTACAAACCTGCACAAACTGCAGAATAAGGATTTTTAATGTCTCAATCCAAGAACCTAAGTAATTCTGTACGTAGCACTGTTACATAAATTGCATGGAACTTAATATGTGTTTCTCAGTGAACTCATGCTTTGACAACAGTCTGAGAGTGCTGTGTATGTGGGTGTGCTGTAAGCAGATGAGGAATTTGCACAGTACTCAGACACTGAAATTTGAACTTAAAAGAGAAGGCAAAACATTAAAGTTTCCCATATCACTAACTTGTTCTAGCTCAAAGAATCCTGAAAGGGCAGAATGACTCTGTTCCGCTCTCACTGTAGTATGTTTCTGATAAATGCTTAATTCCATGGTCTCAGCCTTAATTAAAACTCTGACATGTCAATCCCCTCTTCTCCACTGACTGTAACTGGTGTTTTCTTTCTTAAGTGGCCCCAAGTTCCATATCCTCTTTGAATCAACTGCAAGAAAGGCTTTTAGTGTGATGCAGGTGGAGCAGACGTTTTCAGGGGTATTTATTCCCAGTTCTGTGCTGACGGCTCAGTAATAGCCGTAGCTATTATAGTACCATCAGCCAGCACATACTGGTTTGCTAAGAATAAAACCAAGAGAACCACATCAGAAGGAAAAGCATATGCCTCTGTTAACTGCTCACATCCTTCAGGTTAACACCCTTCACTTAGAGAAACCCCTGCCTGAAAACAAGATCTGCAGGACCCAATACCTGTAGGCATTTTGAAGTGATATTACGGAGGTCACCTCTTAAAAGCGACAGTTGTCTTGCTGAAGAGATAGTCCTAAAGACTTCATATTCTGATTCCTGAGAGAAAAGCCATGAGCATGGCACAGGGTCTGAGCAACTGGGAAATCTGTGCAGCTCTCTATACCTGACCTTTCAGCAAAGCCTCACGGCAACGAGAGCTGCATTCAACAGCAGCAGCAGGAGCTTTCCCCGCGGCCAGGTGCGTTTTCCCAGCACTGTCACTGCCGTTCCCCGGGGACACGGCACAGACCAAGCAGCTGTTCGCGCCCTCTCCTGGCAGCTGGGCCAGGCCACGCCGCTCAGCAGCTCCACGCACACCACTCGGTGTGTGCAGGAGGGATCACGGAGCAGCCCGGCTGCCCGGGCAGGCCGGGAGCCCCCAGAGCATCCTCCGTGCAGCAGCGGGTGCAGGGGCAGCTTGCTGCGGCACACGTGGGCACTGAGTGCCTGCACTGCTCGGGCAGTGCCCCTGTCCCCCACTGCCCAGCAAGGACCATCCCCAGTTGGTACCACGCCAGATCCAGGGATCTGACTCAGCTCAGAAGGAGGTAATGATAAAGAACAGACAAAAGTATTAAAAGCATGCAAGAACACACAGCAAATAAATGTGTTCAGATCATGCTGAACACCAGTTTATTTATAATACATGTTTACACACATGCAGAAGGGGCAGAAAGGAATTAAAAAAGAGCATTCAACATTTCTAGAGAAAGTGTATTTTGACTTGAGGGGGATGACAACGTTGGCATCCAGTGCAATACCAGGTTTTTGCCAAGTTCTTTTTCCTGCTACATTGTAAGCAAAACAGTCACTTTGGTCTTGATATTGTTTAATTTTTAAAACACTAGCAAATTAAACATTAGAATACATTTAATTTGAGAAGCAGCTTATATTTTCCAATGTGTCCTACTCATAGTAAGGCAAAACCTTCAGAATTAATACAAGCATACAGATATTAAAAAGTCACTTCCCCCATCAGCAAGTCTATTCTGGCTTTGCTAACACTGGCAGTGTGATCATGGGTTACATTTTCTTAACCTGACCATGTACTCTCCTACAATGCAAGTTAGTTATTTCTCACCTGCTACTCATGATGTCAGTCTCACCACTTCAGTATTTAAAAAGAACAAAACAATAACCTTACAATCGCATCCAAAATGTATTTATAGTGATTAATTTATTATACAAGTTCATATGCTCTTGTGCCAATACAGTTCTTCAGCTTAGATTTTTCCACTGTTATTTTGAGAGTACAAAAGTAGTTCCCTCTTAGCTCTCCCAACAGTGGATTATAAAAATGTCATCCTTCAAGTCAAGCAACTCGCACCACAGATCCCAGTCAGAGGGCCACAAGCACAGACAGCAGTGCCTGTATGCTCTCCACTGAAAATCACTCACCTAAAGCATCCTGGAATCACGCTAACCCTTTCCTAGGGATCCATCAGAAACACAGTCGCTATCCACTGGGAGGCAGTGAGGCTCTCCTTCTCCACCTTTTCCAACCCATTGCCTTCCAGGGGACAGCAGAAACCCCGGCATGCAAACCCCTTGCACTCCTGCATTTCTATTAACTGCACGGTCCAGGTGATGTGATGGTGATGTAAACACACTCCTCCCCCTCTGCTTGTCAATTCAGAGTCAGCAGTAACTTCTCCAAATTTTATGCAAAGCTTATTACAGAGAACATCAACACTGGTCTCTGGGTGAATTCTAAGGAACTCTGCTACCAAATGCCCAAGAGTTCTGTTTCTGAACACACAGGTATCTGTTTCCACGCTCACTGATGAGCCCCTGGCAGCAGTCCTGGACCCTCAAGCCCCAGCCAAGTCCTCCAAGCACAGCTACTCTGCTGCAGTGCCTGTGAGAGGCACCCAGTGTGGAAGGACAGGGCTGGACTTTGCCCACACCTGCTCACTAAACCTCTCTCCACCACGATGTTACTTGCACCAGCAAAACTGCACCATGTTCCTCAAGTGTAGGGATTACTAGCAATAAAAGATGTGGAATTTTTTCTAAACCTAACTGTATTTTTACCAACCGTGGCCAGAGTCACCAGGCCTCTCGCTTGACACAGCAGAGCTGGCAGAGTGCAGCACAGTGGTAGTGAATTGTTCAAAGCGTGTCTCCTGCTAATTAACAAAATGCAGTTGTAATTCAGTTGGCCAGCACTGTAAAGCTGGCATTACAATTAGTATGTACCATGTCCAAGCCATGACAGCAAACTTCTTTAACAGAGCTCCAGTAAGGTAGACCACACCACAGGACAGACAGACCTCGCACTACTGCAAAATGTCACTGCTCTTGTTCCATCCTGTGTCCTCAGTGTGGGCTGCATGGGCACCACCACTGAGTAAGCTTGCTCTTGCTACGGCCTCAGTACACTACAGAAAAACAAAGCAAGCACAGGCCCCTTCCCTTCTGAAATGAGATACCTGAATGTTTATTTGGGGAAAAAAAGCTTACAATTACATCCCAGTGTACTAAGAGCCTACACAGCTGACATATTTTAACAGATTCTTTAATGTTCTGCATTTCTGCAGGTTATCTTTGGACTCAAAATATTTTGTGA